GATGAGTAAAAAGTGATGCACTAGGCTGGACTTACGGTTGCTAATTTCGTCATTGCATTTTTGCTTACATATCCCTGGTTTGCTCAGCCACCCCCACCGGATAAGCAGCTTTTTTGGACCCTCGGAGTCTAGAAGACCAGAACCAATGACAGGATGGGAAACATGGACCCTTCTCCTGGCCCTTCTCGTAAGGAGGGGTTGGGGACAAAACAACGAGGAGAGGGGAACCTGGAGAGAGAACACAGTCGTCAACTTCTCCAGCATTTTGGCGTCAGGAAATAATCTCTCCAATTGTTGGACCTGTCATCCCCACCCACAAGAGGGGGTTCCTCACCTCCAGATTGTGCCTGTAGATGAGGATGTTAATCTCACCCTGACTTCTGAACCAGTTAGGAACACGCTGCTTCTAATAGTGAATCTTGAAGATCATGAGGAAATGGGGTGTGTAGAACTTACAGACCCTTGGAATCAAACGGGTCTCTGGATCAAGCGGCCCTTTCTCTGCACAGGGCAAGGAAAACCCTGTTGCCCCTGCCAGACAGATGCCTGCCTTATTGATGCGGGAAGCTCGCTGTCTATTTATCCAATGTCGTTTTCCACATTAAGCTCCTCCTGCACTCCTAACCAGACTCACTGGTGTGTGGACCCATCTCTGCTCTCCCCAGGCACCCAGCCCAACACATCTTGTACGCACTGGAAAGGAACAGCAGCCCCGGCCTGGAGGCTCACCTATCAGACCCCCTCTGCCTTCAGCGACGAGGAGGACATAGAGGAAAACTCGGAACTAGATGCGGGACCACTAGACGGAGGGCCTTTGTCCCCTAGATGCAGTAATGCCCCTCGCTGGGGTGCCCTTTTACGTCGATGGTTTAATTCTACTTCACCCCGCCAGGCTTGCACCCCTGCCGGCTATCTATTCCTCTGTGGTCCACCGCAGAATAAACTACCCTTTGAAGGGAGCCCAAATTCCTCCTTTTCCTGGCCTCTCCGAGCACTGGCCTACCGCTGCTTAGACAATGTTCACTTCCGAGGAGAGTGCACTCTGGGCCGATTGGGCACTAAAGGACTAGGCACCACTGCATATAGTAATGCCACCTCTCAAAACAGACATAACTGGGCACTCAGACTAGTCCTGGCAGGAATTGGGGTGGCCCTAGGTCTGGCTGCCCCTTGGGGAGTTTCACCTATCACGAAACAATCTTAAGAAACTTCACACAGGCCATTGAAAGCCTGGTCTCAAAAAACCAGGTGATGGGAATTCTGGTCGTCCAGTGGTCAGGACTCCATGCTTTCACTGCCAAAGGTGCGGGTTCAATCCCTGGTCAGGGAACTAAGATCCTGCAAGATATACCAGGTGCAGCCAAAAAAAATTAACAACTGGTGATGCCTTTAAGGGGTCTCCAAGAGTCCCCAGATCCTTAGCCACTGTTGTTTGACAGTAACCCTGGGTCATCTTCTGGATGAACAAGGGGGTGTCTATGCAGTGATTAACAAAACTTGTAGAACATGCATCAGCAACTCAGAGGAAGTTGAAGTAAATACTCAGGAAATTTATGAACAAGTTAAATGGCTACATGGGTTCAGCTGCCCTACTGCCCAAACTATATGGGACACAGTCAAAGGTTTCATCCTGTTCCATTCCTTGGTTTCTGCCTCTCCTGGGCCCTCTAGTGGTGGTAGTTCTTTTGTTATTCAGAGCCTGCCTGTTTAATCTTTAGTTAGATTTGTGTCTTCCATGCTTCAACAGTTCCAAGTGAGGCTCCTGATGGCCCAAGGATTTAAACACATTCCTAGAAGGTGACCCTGGTCCCTATAGGTCTTTGGAACAGTCAGCGAGGGACTTCTACACCTCTCAGCTAGGCTAGGGTCTCAAGCAGAAAGAAGATCCAGAAGAAGAGACATTTGGCTCCTTGACCCTTAAGAACAAAAGGTGTAAAATCCCTCAAAGGAAAATGAGGTCAGCTGGGATCTTGGGTCATCTGCCAGGACACTTGCCCCAGGACAGTGCCTCCTTGAGAAACAGGAAGCTGGCATCCTTAGACTGACCAACAGGTGAAGCTTCCTTAAACATGGTGCTGAAGGCCATAAGTTAACCACAAGTGATTAAAGACAACCTCACGCCCGTGCAGTAGGGCGATGTTGACCACTACACACCCTTCCTGGTGGTGGTAGTCGGCAATGTGCCGTTTTGAAGTGCTAATGCAGTAAGCAAAAAACTGCACAATTCATGCATGTGGCACTGCCAAGGAGGATGGACAGACCACCTGAGCCATGCCCCCTGCCTGGACTGCAGGTCCATTCTCACCATCACCCCATCTAAGGACCCAGGGAGCTCTTTGTGAAGGAGCAGGTGGGCAAGGCCACCTGATTCTTGCCTTTGTTCCCTTGAGCTGCAGTGTGAGCCCCTATAAAACCTTGGAAATTCTCATCTGGCCTCTTGTCAATTTCTATTGATTAAAGAGTCCAAGGGCCCAGGGCAGTAGCACTGGGAAGATAAATGACAGCAAAGTGCTAATGCCAAGATGAGGAAGGAAAGGTCTAAAGAACTGCAGTCCCATAGAGGTGGGGAGGTAGCGACAGGATGAAAGTATTTCTCTTTATTAAGGCAGTTCTGACTCTTTTGCTTCCCAGGAAAGTTTGACTGGGATGTAACTGCAAGTCAGTAAATATTCAGATTTTCAGGGCTGCAGTGCATGGTTACTGTGTGATCTGTTCCAATTGCTGCTTTGTGATTTGGGTGCTGTGTGAAAGGAAGCTTGCAGTCATTCAACCATATGTGTGCAGCATGCCCATGCAGACACATGAACTTTTTCTTTAATCATAATGGTTAAAATATTTACATTAATGATGTGGGCTAAAGAGCTTACAAGGAGACACAGAATGGCACATAGGAGACAGCATGACTTGTGCACACTTTCTGTGCTGAAGAGTCATTGGCAGAACAGAATGGCAGTGTCAACTGAGAACACCATCTGGGGGAGCACTTAGACACGACCAGGAGGCAAGGTGGCCACAGGCTGTTGCCCAGTGATGGACAGCTACTCATCTACAGGGACTTCTGCACTTCCCACCCCCATCCCACCTCCTTTAATGTTCCTGCCATTCCCCTTAGCAATGCATCTGCGGGGCTTGTTCAGGATATGACTTTGGGTTAGCAGGCCTGGAAAGGAAAGATAAGTACGAAGGCCTCATCAGTAATTTTCCAGAGTGCCAACCCCCTCCCACCAAGACACACACACATGAAAATCCTCAAGACAGAAATGACTCCTGTTTGACACGTGGTGAGAGTTCCAGGAAAGGCTGCAGAAGCTCCTGATCATTAAACCTGTGGAAGGTCACAGTACAGAGAAATGGTGCCAGTATGATGATGAAAGTTGTCATTTATTGAACACCTGCTGGATATTAAGGTGTTTTGTTTTGTTTTTAACAACCAAGCCTATGCTTTTATCCTCCATTTTACAAATAAAGACACTAATTCTGATCATTAAATCTGTTGCAGGTCACACTACTGAGAAATGGCCAAAGTGGGGATCTTATCTGCAAGATACCCTCTCAGCCACCTCTATCCCACCCTCCTGCCCCATCTCCAGGAATCACTGAACAGGAGGAGCTCAGGAAAGCAGATTGGAATAATGAGATAGGATTCTGCAGATGTTTCGAGTGGGAAAGAGACCCATTCTAATGAGCCTTGCTTCTCTCCTTTCCTCTTTCTGAAGTGGTTTGGGAGTGACTGCTTAGGACTAGTTCTAGACCTGAAGAGAGGGGAGCCTTGTTATTTCTGTAGAACTCAGCCCTCCCAACCAAAGGCAGCAAGGTTGAGAAGCGTTATTCAGGAAAAACCCATGCCTTTAGCCCCAGCATCTGCTGTGATGTAGCCCTTGGAAGTCTGAATGCAGGAGCACTTTCTCACATGGACCTGACCCAGGTGTGGGGCTGGAGTGGGCAAGGGGAGGTAAGCAGTGCAGCCTGAGACCCTGTCCTTGAACACTCAGCCTTAGAAAACTTCCAGCTGGATCAGCTAACCCCATCCTGCTCTCTGAGCAGACAGAAGTACTTGGCAATTTTTTTTTCCCTTTATCTCCATAATCGCTGTTGAAGGTTTTGGTTGTTGTAGAGAAGTAAATATGAAACTTGGGGGGATAGCTTAGTCAGTGCTCTTCAAACTGTTTAGCTATGGAAGCTGGGTTTTTTTCAGCAGAATTTTGAAAGGAATCACAATATTGAAAGCATGAGAATATCACTGTCAGCTCAAACCATTTATAAATATCTGTTTATAAAAAGAAACCACCTCATCTGAATCAGTGAGCCATAATTACACAACAATATGCAAATTACATAATTTGCACAACTCCCTGAATCACCTCTTAGAAGACAGAAAACAGTGAGCCAAGTTAACCCAGGACGTGGACCTTTGGTCAAAAGAAGGAAAATGGCCCCGAGCTCAGGCTAAATGCCTGCTCAGAGTGTATCTGCTCTGACCGCCTGGTGGCCAGGTCCCATGTCAGTCGCTGGTGTTTATGAGGCTGCTGTGGGGTAACCAAGACCCTCTGTTGTGCCACCAGGGCTTTCCTGTCACTTTATTTTCCAATGACCCCCTCCCCCTCCAAAAGAGGCCCCTGGAAAATGTGATGGTGACCAGCTACGGGGGAGGTATGGACTCTGACGGCAACTTGACCTGGACCAACGTAAAGTGATTCACTTATCCGTAGAACAAAGCTCCAGGGTTATCTTCTCTACAGTTGAGGTGAGTTAGGAAGTAAGGGAGCCCACTGTACCTTGCGATTGATTGTTGGTGTACATCCTAAGCTGCAGTTGTTTGCAGAACATTCTAGAATACTTTAATGCCTTGAACTGTTTGTAACCAACGAGTGATAACTCAGGTTTAAAGATACAACTAGTGAATAAGGGAACTTACAGTTGAAAATGTGGCCAAGATTCATTCCCTACCAATCCAGTTAATTTTTTAAAAGCCTTAAATAACATTAGCAATCTCAGTAGTCTTACATTTTAGTGATTTTCTGAAATATTCACTGAAGTGTCAAATGTACATCCAAAAGCCATTGCTTCATTTGCCTGTAAAACAGATGAATACCTTCACCTAGATAGAAATCATTAGTCCAGCCAAGGATTATTGGTTAGTATAGAATCTGTATGGAATAGAAGTCTCAGAGCCAGCCACCAAAAACCTAGTGTCTCTAAAAAAGACTTTTCAAAAACCAAGTCACCTTAATTCCAGGCCACCTCCTAACATTGCTGAGGAAACCAGGGTACTAACCTGCAATTTTGGCTGAGTTTGTTGCACAAGCTACCCTCCAGGCTTCACAGCCCACTGCCCATTAAGACATAACACATTTATTAGAACCAAAAACTTTTTCTAGGGAGAAGATATTTAGCAATGGAAAATAACAGGACCAAGGCTCACCTGGTAGCAGAAAGCTCCAGGGCAGGAAATTCCAGTCCCAGTTCAGCTCCTGACATGATGTGACTGCAGGGACTTCAGGCTCACCGCCCAGTTTCCTCACCAGGACCCTGAAATGACAACACAGCCGACTTCACAAAGGGGCCAGGATGTGGCGCAAAGGACAGCAGCACTTTTCCCATTTCAGGATGGGCAAACATTAAAAAACAAAAGATGGGCAAGTGTAACTTCATTATGTGAGATGTCCCCACACACCTCTGCCGTTTTAACTATCCGGGCACTGTGTTCAGTCATGTCCAACTCTGCGAGTCCAGGGACTATAGCTCGCCAGGCTCCTCTGCCCATGGAATCTTCCAGGCAAGAATACTGGAGTGGGTTGCCATTTCCTACTCCAGGGGATCTTCCCGACCCAGGGATCAAACCCGCATCTCCCGCATCACCTGCTTTGGCAGGTGGATTCCTTTACCACGTGCCACCTGGGAAGCCCGTTAACTATCAGTGACTTATTTAGTCTCAGCCTCAATACCTTCTGTTCAGGTCACTCTGGATTCCCTAACCTTGGCTTTGATCTCTGATGGTGAGCCCTGACTAAGCTTTCCGACAACCATTTCATCTGCCTTCCAGCTCACCCTCCATCCCCAGCACCCCTGGCCTGGCTTGCACAGGCTCAGCACCATTCCTCCACCAGCCACCTCTGGACATCCCTGCCAGCCCACCAGCTATCTATCAATAGGGTGGCTGCAATGGTTCTTGCCCAAGATAAAGGGCACACCTCTCTCTGACCACCCCCTTCTTCCTATGTGCAGCCCACACCCTGTAATAATGTCCTTGTGTGTTATAACTAGATCATGACCCTTCTCAGGTCATATGTCACCTCCTCACTTCTCTCAGACTCCTAGTGCCTGGTAGACAGTTAAATATACACCCCCAAATGGTAATTATCTGTTAGACCTGTTGTTCTCCAACGGTTTGAAGAATGTTTTCTCAGCTCAACAGATTAGCGCTTTCCTTAATAAACATTTCACTACCGTATAAACACCACTAGCTGAAAATATCATTCTGGCTTAGTGTATGTCCTTACATAATGATTTAAATTTGAAAAGCCCCCTGTATGATCATTATACGTGGAAACAGCAATGTCTCACTGATGTGGCATTATAGGAAGGGGTCCAGGCCATTTAAGTAAACTTCCTGGGTAATTAAAAGACCTCTTTAAGGACCCTTTGAAAAGTTTCACCATTTTTGATGGCACTCTTCGTTTCAGAAATCATAATCAAACGCTTAAGTACTTACATATTTATCAGTAGATGTTTTTCTAAAATGTATCTAGATATCTGCTGCTGCTAAGTTGCTTCAGTCGTGTCCGACTCTGTGCGACCCCATAGACGGCAGCCCACCAGGCCCCCCCATCCCTGGGATTCTCCAGGCAAGAATACTGGAGTGGGTTGCCATTTCCTTTTCCAATGCATGGAGGTGAAGTCGCTGAGTCGTGTCTGACTCCCAGTGACCCCATGGACTGCAGCTGACCAGGCTCCTCCGTCCATGGGGTTTTCCAGGCAAGAGTACTGGAGCGGGTTGCCATATAGATGTCTGCCTCCTTGTAAATGGGAAATCAGACATAATTTAAGTTTTTCATTGCATTCCAAAGCATCATTAAGTATATATTGAATAGTATAATAATGTAGTGCTAGTTTTGCTTCTTAGAATTCTTGTTTCTCAGCCAGATTGCCAGACAACACACTGTCTAATTCACTGCTTCTAAACTACTCCACAGGCTTCCCAGGAGGCTCAGTGGTAGAGAATCCATCTGCCAGGGCAGGAAATGCGGGTTCGATCCCTGGGTCAGGAAGATCCCCTGGAGGAGGAAATGGCAACCCACTCAGTATTCTTGCCCCGGAATACCATGCACGGAGGATCCTGGCAGGCTACAGTTCAGAGGGTCGCAAAAGAGTCAGACACGACTTAGTGACTAAAGAAGCAATCTACTCCAGACCAGCACACCAGGAAATCAGACTTAGGAGTGAGAAACGTGTTTGTGCACTGCTGGTAGGAATGTAAACTGGTGCAGCTGCTATATGAACTAGGACGGTGGTGGTGGTTAGTCGCTAAGTCATGTCCGACTCGCAACCTCATGGACTGTAGCCTGCCAGGCTCCTCTGTCTATGGGATTCTCCAAGCAAGAATACTGGAGTGGGTTGCCATTTCCATTTCCAGGGGAATCCCCCCAAAATAAAAATAGAATTATTGTATGATTCAGCAATCCTACTTCTGAGTGTACCCCCCAAAAAAATTTGCAGGTGGGGGTCTCAGAAAGATTTTTGTACTTTCCTGTTCACAGCAGCAGCATCTGCAATAGCCAAAAGGTAGAAGCAATCTAGGGGTCTGTCAACAAATGAGTGGATAAACAAAATGTGGTGTATACCTACAATGGAATGTTTTTCAGCCTTAAAAAGAGTGTATTTCCCCTTGAGAATCCCTATCTTGTCCTGGATCTATTGAGTTTTCTTCCCTCTCAGCCTTTCCCCGCCAGGCTATGACCACTGCATGTCATGACCGACATTTCATCCTGGTCCCTCCCTCTCTCAGTTCCTAGGAGGGTCAAAAGAAGAGAGAAGGAAATTAAAGAGGGGGAGATGGGGTGCAGGGGAAAACCATCTTGAGGGGACTAGCAGGGGAGACCTAACAGCCCCTCATTCCCTCTTTTGTGCTAGGCAGTGTGCGCACGAACATGTATATATTATGACCCCATGTTACAAATGCGGGTAATGAGGCCCATTTCCAAAAGGTGAAATTAAATGAAGAGAAACAAGGGCACTGCTGTGAGTTCATTATTCTCAGATTAAATCTTTCCTAATTTTTCTCAGGGGGAGCAGCAGGTGGAGGGGGCTGTTAAAAAAAGGAAGAAAGGAAATTCTGACATATGCTACATATGAACCAACCTTGACATTGCGCCAAGTGAAATAAGCCAGTCACAAAAAGACAGATATTTTAAGATTCCACTTATATATGTGAAGCACCTGGGAAATCAAATCATAGATACAGTGGAAGCACAGAATCCTAACCTTAGGACCACCAGGGAATTCCCACTATGATTAAAATTTTTCATTTTGATCTCTCATCAACATCTGGGTGTATCTGCTTAGTTTCTCTTTCTGTCACAGATTAGGGAATGGAATGGGAGAGACTGAATGTACACATACCCAATGGCCAGACCATCAGAGCAATAGGTTGACCCACAGCCTGCAGCCACCTACCCTGGAGACCAACCCCTTATCTATAGTAACAAGCCCTGGAAGCCAGCCTCGTTTAAATCAAACTTACAGGAAGCAAGATTGCTGTCTCTAGCAACAAGCCAGGAAGCTCAATAGTAACTTCTCTAACAGTTAGCCTCAGATGGCTAGGGCTTGATTAATAACTGACACACCTTCCTAATTTTGTCCCTGCTTCCAACTTAAAGCCAACCAGAGAGAGTCAAACCTGACCCCCAACCAAGCACATAAGATCCGCGATTCTAGGTTATCCACCCTCAGCTGCCCCCTGCCACCAGCCTCTGGTCAGGCACACCTGAAACCTCCCTTTCTCCATCTTATAAAGTTTTCCCACTCCTTGCCCACCTTTGAGTCTCCACCGAAACACCAGTGACAGTGGCTGGCTCCCTTACTATTGTAAACTCAGAATGATGGGGTTTGCTTTTCTCATTTTGTTCATGGCTCTTTATTTCTGCAGATGTATAGTTTCTGCTGTGTAATGGCAAAACACTATTCAACTTTCTGCAACACTTAATAACCACCAAAACATAACTGTTACAACCCCAGTTTCCTACCAAGTTCTTTCATTATTACAGTGCTGAAATTTTAACAGTGGGTAGTCATTTGGAAAAGTTCTTTTAGAACAATTCTTTTGCCACTTAGACTCTTCTGTAACACTTCCTTCAGCCACTGAGAAACAGAGAACATCTGTTTGTTCTAGTGTTTGGGATGGCTGGAGTGGCCCCAACTGATGACCTCCGAATAGCAAGGATATTTGTCCATCTCACTTGAGAATGTACATGTGTTACTGAGTCCAAGCTTGTACTGCTCACTGCATGACAGAACAGTACGTCAAGAGATGAGTTGTTGGGGCAAGGAATAGCAACATTAAGAGGAAAGCCAGAAGCCTGAAAAAAGTAACGGATGTGTCCCAAATAAGCAGCTTGTCTGGAGTTAGAATTCAGGCTTCTTTTATACTAAAAGGGGAGGGAGTAAAGTGAGACATTTCCTGTTTCCGGTCAGCCTTGGAAGGGGATGTGTTAATTTCTTTCTCCCTGAAGTCATTCACAGGTGGGTCTGGTCAGGATGTTTCCTGGGAGCTAAACAAAGGTATTTTAGCTTAATGCTCATTACCTGGGAGGCAGGGTTCCCAGAGATGGTCCATTATGTATGATTTAAGTTTATAGGCAATATCCCTTTAGTGATTAACTTGTAATAAAATTAAAAGTAGGACGTATTTCTGTTTGCTTGGATCTGAATAACTACTGGCTAAACATCAGGTGTTAGAAAGTACTTGATAAAGCTGGCTTCACTGTCATGCTGAAAAGTAATGGATATTATTTTTTAATTAGGTGATGTCCTTCTCTCCCTGAATCTCCATGTACATGACCTCCCTATGCCATGTTGGTAGCATCTATTTGTCTCAGGCAGAATTATGATTCTTCTAGAAGACAAAGAAAAACATGTTATGTTTGTGCAGTCTAGCCTTTGCTATCGACAATTTTTTAAGATCACAAACTTGCAAATCAGGCTTTCAAAAGAGACAGGACTTTCTAAATCCCAAATGCTCTGACTTTGTATTTCCAGGGGCAAACCCAGGCTGTCTCGTACATTAATGTAAGAGCTTGATTTTTAACCCTAATGATCTCGTGGGAAAATGCAAGGGTGAAACAGAAGTTTACTTTAAACCAGAGCTCCAGGGAATCCCTTGAAACAGGAAAGGAAAATAGAGAAATCCCATCTCTTCCAGGTCTGGGGAGAGGAAGCAACAGCAAAATGAGTTGGTTTACCCTCTAGTCAGAGGACTGCAGGGAGGTGACATCCCACTGGCGGAGAGAATGGAGCTTAGAGATTTTCTACACTGTTTTCCTGGTATTAGATTCTGGTTTGCAGTTGGAGGTTCAGTGCATTACATCATCAGTCTTAGGGCTTGTTACCTGGGTACTTCCTGTGAGTCTGCACCTTCTCCCTGCTCTTCCCCATCTCCATTCATGGCAAATGGGAAATGTTTAACGCAAAGCATACTCTTGTTGAAAAGCATATGTTGTTTGATACCTTTTTTAGACATCGGATACCTTAATTGTGTTATTTTGAGGATAAAAGAAAAACGCATGTCTTTCAGAAAAGTGATTCCCAAATAGGGTTCATTTTGACTTGCCGTTGAGACTGAGCAGACCGAGAGATGGGCTGTTGTTTCTGTTTAACAATTTCGCTCCATCTAGTGGTCAGTGTGGGAATTTTCACAGGTGTGCTTTCCTGTCGTGACTCTGCAGCCCCAAGGATGGGCGTGGGATTCCCCAGGCAAGAACACTGGCCTGGGTGGCCGTTCCCTCCTCCAGGGGATGTCCCGACCCAGGGATCAAACCCAAGTCTCGTGTCTCCTGCACTGGCAAGATGATTCTTTACCACTAGAGCCACCTTTAAAACTCCTCTTAAAACATAGTCATTTTTCTNGGGACTTCCCTGGTGGTCCAATTGTTAAAATGTGCTTCTACTTTCCACAGCAAGTGGCATGGGTTTGATCCCTGGTC